AGTATTTTGTCTAGTGTCAATTATATCGTCAGTTATATCGTTATCGTAAATTCGTACAATTTTCCATTGACAAATACATTTTTTGTTTCTCATCTTAGTTTCTGTCCTTCTGTTTCATTTTATTCTTTTTTGTTTTGTTTTTTATTTTCCTGGTGTTTGTCCCCCCCCTCTTTCCTCTCATGCAGACACACACCTCATGCCTGTCAGCTCTTCTCTTTCTGCTTTTTTAGACACACTCTCACTCCTTCTCCTTCTGTCTCTTTCTGTGGCCTGACCAGCTGGGTGGAAAGAATCACTTGTTTATCTCCCCTGCTGCCCGTCAGGGGCTTTTGCTTTGCTGCCACCGTTGCCTAGCAACTGCAGCAAAAGTCGGCATTGGCTGCTTATACAGAGACTGTGTGTGTGTGTGTGTGTGTGTGTGTGTGTGTGTGTGTGTGTGTGTGTGTGTGTGTGTGTGTGTGAGAGAGACTCCATGTTGACTCGGCAGGCTGAGGACAGACACGCCGCTCTCACCACTCCCTCGGCGCAGAAGTGGTCGCCAGCCTTTGTGACTCCAGAGTAGGCACACTTACACAAACCTTAGCAGTGTTTAGTGTAGACACACAAACACATGGTACAAACAAGACTGGGACTTCCCGATCTCACAGTCTGTCTGCATGCCACGAGCCACCAATCCACATTTTCACTAGTGATCAGCTGATTGTCTTATTCAATGAAATTTTCATTCCTTGGATGAAAATATAATTTTGCTTCTCCTTTTTTTTTTTTTTTTTTTTTTTTTTCCCTGTTTTATTTTGAGTTTCAAGATCACAAAAATTTGTTATTACGATTCTAACCGTGATCATGGTGATCTGTGGAATCAGTGACTTCTTTATGTCTTCCTGTGTTATGCTCACGTCTCATATATCGTTAGCTTCATAGCATAAGTGCCTAAGTCATTTTTTGGTCAAATTGCATGTGATATTTAAAAATATGCATGTGATATTTAGAAAATTAGTTTTGTCTTGTTTTCCGAAAACACAAAAAAATGACTTAGGCACTTATGCTATGAAGCTAACGATATACAAATATTTGCTCCATGTCCTTTTCACTTCTACTTAAGGTAGCTGACAGAATCACCTGAATATAAGTACAGAGTTAGCTCCGAGCATATACTTTATATAAAAGATGGACTTAATGGCATTTAATATGGGAGTCTTTGATCGATTCTCAAACAGCCATGACACAAACTGCAGTTCTAGCACTTGGATTATTACAGGGTAATCCCAAAAGTAAGCTCTCCTTAAAAAAAAAAAAAGAGAGAAAGAAATACAAACAACCGTTTATTTTTTATAATATTGACATCATTTCAAATGTTGAAGAATTATTTATTTTTCTACATTATTGCCATTTCGGCCGATGCATTATTTGTAGACAGTGTTCCAGTTTGACAATGCCCATGTCATACCAGCTCACCGCCATGTCCTTCAAACAAACGTTTTTCAAATTTTTTGCTTTGCCTAATAAAGAGCAGTAATGTACAGTCCAAAATCAGCTGTTTGACTTTCTGCTTACGAAAAGACTTTGACAATCAGTGCCTCACAGGCATAGTTTTGTTTAAGTATTTCTAGCAATCAAGTAATTGATAAATCCAATAATTGTTGCGTATCTAATCATTGTTAATGGGAAACAGTGCGGGCTTACAAGCATCATTGTAAACACATCCATATCTCCTGTCACTATGAGTAGCTCTGCTTGTATGAGCTCCAGCACAGTAGATGCCTGATTCTGGCATGTTCTGAGGATCTCATTGTCTTTCAGCACCACGTTCCATCTTGCATCACCCTCCCTTTCCTGTTCAGATGCCCTGACATGTATCTTGGTGCAGAAAATGCTGGGAATATTTCTTTTGCTTTTTTTTTTTTTTTTGAGGTGCCATCTTGGGGGGTCTCGACAATGGTGCCCCGAGGACTGCGGCACTGCATCATACACAGCATCTGTCAAACACAGAATGAGGATGGAGACTTGGCAAGCTGTGGGTATATGTGTGTGGGGTAGAGGAAGAATGCCAGAAGCTCCCCTTTTCACTCTCCTCTGTTCTCCCGGTGATGATTGTGGGGAAGTCTCTGGGCATGTGCAGACACGTCTGGGCAAGAGTCAAGCTCTTGCTCAATGCTGCCTCCTCCTGTCCAACTGCCTGTCAGCCTGTCAGTGATGCAAGATAAGCAGACAGAAAGAGGCTTGGCATGGATGAGCCTTACCACCCTCTGCCTTCGT